CACATCATTATACATAAAAGCACTTTTGGAGCTATGAAAGTAAAAGTTTTGGAACATCTGCATGCAGTTTTACTTACAGTGCTTTTTTTATAAACATAAATGAAGACTCCTGAGTATATTAATTATTCACTTGGCTTGAAATGGTGATATTTCTTTGTTTTTTAAATTTAATTTAAATTCAATTAATTAACGTATAGTATATTATTAGTTTCAGAAATAGAGTTCAGTGATTCATCAGTCTTCTGTAACACCCAGTGCTCATTACATCGCGTGCTCTCCTTAATGTCCATCACCCAACTACCCTGTGCTGATTTTTTTTTTAATTAAGTGGTTATTGTACCACATCAGTTACATGGTGCTTCTAGTATTGATGTGTCTGGTATATATTACTTAAAATAGTGTTCATTTGCTAACCAGAATAAAAACATTATCCAGTAGAGAGTATATTCTCTTTCTGTCAAGAAGCGCAGGATAGAGCCCTACCCTGTAAGATTTTTAACTCTTGAAATAAGAGGAGAAGGGACTTTTATGAAACTTTGCTTAGCAACAAATTAGAAAATTTGAAATCAAAATTAAGGTTATTGACATGAAAGTACACAGGCTTAATCTTTATGTTCTTGAGGAGCACAGGTAGTGCCATTCTTCATCCCTTTTCTTTTTTGCCAGGCTCCAGGGAAACCATAACTTTCTGAAGTGTGTATTGTTATCTTTTGTCACTGACTTAGTACATATTTTAAAAATACTTATCGTCATCTAACATTTTCTATAAATGTCACATAAATTCACTGGAATTTAGAGTATGTTATTACTGTAGATAAAGAAACAGCTCATATTTTGAGATCTTTTTTTTAAATGTTATTTAGTTCACACTTCTATAAACAAATCTGCTGCTTTTTCATAAATAACTTAAACATAAATCTAAATTACAGTTGAATCTTTTAAATTTTCCCGAGATTTAAAGGTTGACTCTTTGTCAGCTATGTTTAGGGACTTCTTGTGAAATATGTTGAATTGCACATTATGGGTTTATCTTTCCCTCTTCCCAAATTTCCCGTAAATGTTAGTAAAGGAGTGGAAAACATAAATACACAAGAATAAAGAAGAGAGGAGAAAACAGTAGTAAGAGTATTTAGTAGTATATGAGTTAAAATTGCCTACAGACTAGAGGCATTCTTTCTGAAAAAAGTAACTAACCAAGAAAAGAGGTTTTAAATATTAATATTAACTTTTAAATATGAACATATCAGTGAGAATAGCCACATGTAAGGAGACCTCTTACATAAAAGATTAAGAGGAGAATCTGGAAGAAAAGGCACAAAGCAGTGGGAAACTGGAAAAAAATTTAAAAAGCAGCAGAATGTGTTGCAACCATGAAACAAGAATAGAAAGCTGTTTTTAACAAGGACTGGAAAAAATGAAAAACCTCTTGGAAATTGAAAGTATGAAAGCAGAAATAAATGATAGAAGGGTTAGAAGTTAAAACTTAGGATCAATCCAAACAAGTATTTAAAAAAAGAAAAAGAGACATAGATGGTATGATGGATTTGTATTATGTCAAATTTACTAAGCTGGAGGTGCATGTCCCAGAATTCCTTTTCTTGCATAGCTCCTGGTTACTGTGAGCAGTGAGGCATTTATTTTGATTTTGCAAGGTGGAAGTGAAACTACAGCCATACTCATTTTCAGAAGGTTGCTGTGGACACTGGAAACTCTTGCAGTTCACAAATGTTATTGGCATGGGAGAGCCACAGGGCTCCTCAGCTTCCCCTATATCCTCTCTCTTGGCTTCTCCAAACCTTGGGCCAGGCCTACCACCAGAGTCAACAGCTGAACATAAACTGACCAGGTTCATAATTACTTAGGGCCAAATCTCTGTTATAAAACCCATATTCTGTATCATTCTTGTGTTCTCTGTTCAAATGCTGATTGATACATCTGTATCATAAGTAGTTGTAAAGGAACAGTAATGTAATGATGGGTTCCTAAATTAGTTCTAGGTTTTCCAGAATGGGTTCTTGAGTCTAATTAGGTCCAAAAGTATTTAATGGCCCTATTTTAAGTGTCAGAGGAGACACTGGTGATCCATGGCGTACTGTAGCAAAATAGTTATTTTATCAGCTATAGACTGTAATAATCAAGTGCCCATAGAAGGTAAGGCTTTCAGAGGCCAAGTATCTACTGCCACAGAACATTTTAACATGAAAATAAGAATAATAGTTCCCTTCAAAGTACACTGGGGAATTTAGGGAAAGAAAGGCTTTTAGATTCTGAGCTCAGAGTCCACATAAGGGAGTAAAGCCCCTGTGATTGCTCTAAAAGAAACCCTTATCTCTTGTAGCCAAGGGCAGAGATTTCTGAAAACTAAACCCAAAGTCTAATCCTGCAGGTGTCTGAGTTACAATACAAATTGAATTTCTAGTTTTGTAGTCTCTTGTGTTAAGGTTACATTGGGAAAGAATGGAAAACTAAAAGTTGGGGTGGGTAATAATGGGTAGATTCCAGTGAAGGTACCTTGGACTCCCTAGGTCTGCCTAGCCACCTTTACCAGTCATGTCTCTGTCTGAGGGCGGTCAGTCTCCTGAGGAATCTGTAATGGCTTCCCCTAAGGTTGTAGCCTTTTATTCAGAGACTGCTGATCTCCTTCTGGACCTACTCTCACCATTTCTAATTGCTTTTATACCTCTGCAACCCCACTTCCAACAGTCCCAGAGCATGAGGGATGTACCTACTAGGTGTTACCCATGAGGAAGTGTGAATAATTTTGCCTGTTATTACCTGGGGAATGCTGTGGGAAGAATAGAGCAGAAGGCATATAAAATTGGATCAGGGTGATGGTATTGATAAGGGCTCATAAGCAAATATTCCAGATTGAAGGTACTAGGTCAGAGGGCTATGAATGGCTCTAACAGTTTGCTTCATTGATTGAAAACTAAACCAAAAAGTGGCCTAAACTACGTAAAGTTGAAGATAGATGCTAGAACTTTATTTTTATACTGTAGAGGAACTTATCCAAATATTTAAGGAGATTAAAATGCTGGAGTAGGTTTTTCTTTTTTTAAAGATTTTGTTTATTTATTTGAGAAAGAAAAAGAGAGTACAGCAGGGGGGAGGAGCAGAGGGAAAGGGAGGAGCAGACTGCCTGCTGAGCAGGGATCCCAACCTGGGGCTCCATCCTAAGACCCCAGGATCATGACCTGAGTTGAAAGCAGATGCTTAACGTACTGAGCCTCCCAGGCACCCTGAATGGATTTTTCATTTAAAAACAGGGGATCCCTGGGTGGCTCAGCGGTTTGGCGCCTGCCTTTGACCCAAGGCGTGATCCTGGAGTCCCGGGATCGAGTCCCGCATTGGGCTCCCGGCATGGAGCCTGCTTCTCCCTCCTCCTGTGTCTCTGCCTCTTTCTCTCTCTCTCTCTCTCTGTCTATCATAAATAAATAAATAAATAAATCTCAAAAAAATAAAAATAAAAAAAATAAATAAAAACAACAATGGGATCCCTGGGTAGCTCAGCGGTTGAGCGTCTGCCTTCGGCTCAGGGTGTGATCATGGAGTCCTGGGATCGAGTCCCACATCAGGCTCCCTGCATGGAGCCTGCTTCTCCCTCTGCCGGTGTCTCTGCCTCTCTCTGTGTCTCTCATGAATAAATAAAATCTTTAAAACAACAACAACAACAAAAACAACCACACACGTCCCCTGGGTTGGTCTAGGGAATACTCCTTTTCTCAGGACTCTGAGAAATACATTCATGAGGAGAGCCACAACAGCCTTCAAGATCTATGTTGGCTGTTTTTTTTTTTTTTAAGCCATTAATGAAAGGACAATTTGCCATCAAATTAGGATCCTTGAATTCATCAGAAATAATGGAATCCCAGGTGAGAGAGACAAGTACTGGCACTTAATTGCAGGAAACAAAGGAAGAAGGTGTGGTTACTGTAATGGTCAGTGAAACCAAAGCAGTAATCAGAGAAGTCCGAGTTGCAGAGATTTTTGACATGGGATAGTTGCTCATAGTTTCCATACAACTAAATAGATGGGAAAGCTTGTGAATTATTCATTGATTTCCATAAACAGAAGAGCTCTAGACCCTGGGGAACAAAAGTATGACTTGGATGATCTTAATAAAGAGTTTATAGCTCCTCAGCCCATCCCTAGACTTAAGCCACACAGATCCAAGAACCTTTAAATGAAGGGAAAGCCAGGTCCTGGCGTACAGCCAAAATTTATGCTGTTGATCGTCTTCTAGGCTTCCCCCAAAGACCTGTGACTATTTATTAAAGTAATGGACATTGGAGAATGATAAATAATTAGGCTTTGGAGGGATTGCTGAATATTGGGTCAGAATGTTATGAATTCTAGAATACCCAAACACCACTGTTTTCTATCAGTCAGTGGAGTTTTGGCTTAGGGCCACCTAACAGTGAGCCCAATGTGGTTGTTTCCATATTCTTGGAATGCATAATTAGAATTCAACAGAGATCCCACTTTAGTTTACTGACTTGTGGAAGTGAGGGAAAGTCATTTGAAAGCTACTAGAGTTTTATCTACCTACCAAGATAGTACACTATTACCTAGAGGGATTACAGAACTACCATTAAGAATTTGAAAGATGCAGAAGTGTTAAATCCGATCACATCCCTATTCAACTCATCTATTTGGCATTGAAGAAGACAAATGGGTCTTGAAGAATGATGGTGAGTTATTATAAACTTAATCAGGTGGTGGCTTCAACTGCATTTGTGCCAGGCAGGGTTTTGTTGCTGAAACGAGTCCATGCAACCCCTAGCAGTTGGTATGCAAATATTGATCTGGCATATGCTTTTTTTCCTATATATTTATTAGTAAAACCCATCAGAATTTGTTTGCTTTCAACTGGTGGGGTCAGTAATATATCTCCACTAACTTATCTCAGAACTCTCTTGAGCTTTCTGTCATAAGCTAGTCTACAAGGACCTGGAAAACCTCTCCCACAGGACATTATGCTGATCCATCATATTGATACCATGCCGATTTGCTCTGGTGAGCTGGATGTAACAATTCCTATTGACATTTTGGTAAGGTGCATATATGTCAGAGGATGAGGAAAATTCCCACAAAAATTCAGGTGCCTGTTACCTCGGTGAACTTTCTAGGAGTCCAATGGTTTGGATTATGTTGGGGTATCTCTTCCAAGGTAACAAAAACAAAAACCTCTGCTATATCTAGTTGACTTCTCTCATCACAAAGAAAGGGGCACATTTGGATTTTAAAGGGAACATCTACCTCATTTGACCTGAAATGGAGACTGTCCCCCTTCCACAAACCTTTCTCTACTCATAAGCTCTGAAGCCTACCTCTTTTACCTAGTGCCTGGAATCTATTCTGTCTGCTTTCTCTATTTTATATTCAGTGGGTTCTTTTCTGTCAATGCCTCTTGGGTCCCTTTATTGTTCCTGTCACTTATACCTTTTGATTCCTCAGATTGGTGATTTCATTAAAAAGTGCCTCTATAAAGTAAATTTTCATATTTAAAATTTTTGTTTTCATCAAGATAGAAAATATAGAGAAGGAAATTAAGCTATCCACATCCTATCACATTTTTACAAAATTCACAGTATAGAAATATTGGTAGCTTACTTTTTTACTTAATGATATCATATATACCTCTTATCTATGTCATTAAATGTTTTTCTACAAATGTCATTGGCATACTATAATTTATCCATTTCTCATTGGAGATGTTTTAATTTCTAATATAATGCTGTATGAGCCTATTTATAATTAAATCTTTGACCATGGGTTTTGTTTTTTTTTCTTCCAGAAATAGAGCTGCAAGGTCAAATGAGTGTTTATTAAACTTCCTTTTAAGTATCTACTGCCAATTGCTGTCCACCAAAATTGAACTAGTTTATATTTCCAACCAGCAATATATGAAAGCGTATGTTTATTAGTATCTCTATCAGTACTGGATATTGTTATTTTAAAACCTTTTTTTTTTTTAAAGATTTTATTTGTTTGAGAGAGAGAGAGGGGAGCAAGGGAGGGGCACAGGGAGAGAGAGAAGCCGACTACCCGCTGTGCAGGGAACCAGGCATGGAACTTGATCCCAATACTCCAGGATCACAACCTGAGCAGGAGGCAGATGCTTAACCAACTGAGACACCCAGGAGCCCCTGTTATTTTAAAACCTCAATGCCATTTGTTATGTATTAGTTTTTGGTTAATCTTCTTTCTATTCTCTATTTAGAAGAGATGGCATTTGTATTTACTTATTCATTTATTTAGTCACCCAACTGTGCTAGGTACAGTGGTGAGAATAGAACTAGGTCTCAGCTTGCTTGGAATTTATAATCTAAAAAAGTTACAGTTTTCTTTATGGCAGCTATGCTGGCTACATACACACTACTATGACCTAGTCTGCCTTACAACTGAGCGTGATTAGGAAAGAACTTGGAGTTTGTGATACGGAACACCAATGATGAACCTTATTAGCAGGGTGGGCCTTTTTTTTAGCAGTTAGCCATGGATACTTGTGGTTAAACTGGAAATTAGAATAATGTATATAAAATTACAAGTTATCTGTGAAGAGTTTCAGTGAACCTTTAAGATTCCCATGTCTTTTCCTCAGATATTGTTAAATTCCTCTGCATCATTAAGTATTTTGGTCACCATTCCTCCCAGGGCAAATAATGTTTTAAATGTAATATTTGAGGCTTTCTAAGTATTTTCTTTCCCTTCCAAGCACTTTAATTATAGTTAGCATAATAATTGGCTTATGCTAAGAGAGATTATTTTTTTAACTTATCAAACTGTAAGATGATTCCTGTAAATTGTCAGGCTCCTAAGAAACAGTTTTTAAAAGTGTGCCTATATGCATACTGCTTCTGTAATTTACACTAGTATTACCCTCCTTAGATTTCTTGTAGTAGTCTCACATCACCAGTTATACTGTTATGCTTATTCCCTACTGTGCTAGTAGCTTTCTGTTTCAGCCTTGTATGAAGCTATTTGGTTCCAACTTTAGTGACTGTGCAAAGCAAGAATTGCCTGTCTATTGTAGGGCTGCCTATAATAAATATCAGGCCTTAGAGGGTTTTCCAAAGTGATAGATGATTGCTAATTAACAACAAACTAATGTTTATGGGAAAAGTGGTTGGTAATTCCTTTGCTAAGCATATCTTTCCATAGTTTAAATGACAGTTAATTTCTCTGTGAAATTCTCCTAAAGTAGATGCTCAAATTGTCAATAAATGTTACCAGTGAAAACCTAGGTTTTCTTGAAAAGCAATACATCTGCCTTAGGTATTATAACAGTACTTTCTGATAACATTTAGAGTATATTGTTGAATTCCTGTTTATGTATTTTTCCCAAGAATTCCATAGAGTATTGAAAACAGTAAGTCTAAGTTGCTTTCAGAATGTTTATTTGAACTTGTTTGGCTTACCAGATTGTGCCAATCTTTCAGATATAATTCATATACCATAAAATTTTAAAGTATACAGTTCAGTAGTTTTTAGTATATTCCCATGACTATGCAGCTGTCTCCATTTAACCCCAAAACATTTTCATCATTCCAAAAAGAAACTCCATAACCATTAGCAGTCACTCCCTCCCAGCCCTTTGCAACCACCAATCTGCTTTGTGGTTGTAAGAATTTGCCTATTCTGGACATTCAGTAAATGGAATTATATAATATGTGGCCTTTTATGTCTAGCCCCTTGACTTCACATGATGTTTTCAAGATCCATCCACGTTGTAGCATGTATCAGTACTTCATTCCTGCTTATGGCTGAATAATACTCCATTATCCATAAGTTGTATGGATACACCATATTTTGTTTATCCATTTATCAGTTGATTGTTTCTGTACTTGGCTATTATAAACAATGCTGTTATGAACATTCATACTCAAATTTTATTTCTTTTGTATGTATTCCTAGGAGTGGAATTGCTGGGTCGTGTGATAACTGATTTTTTTAAGATTTTATTTGAGAGAGAGAGAGTGAGAGCATGAGGGGCGCAGGGAAGAGGGACAGAGAGAGGGGGAGAAGCAGACTCACTACTGAGCACAGAGCCCCATGAGGGGCTTAATCCCAGGACCCTGGGATTATAACCTGAGCCAAAGGCAGGCTTAACCAACTGAGCCACCCAGGTGCCCTATGTTGACTTTTTGAGAAACTGTCAAACTGCCTAACATAGCACTTGTACCATTTTACATTCCTACTTGCAATGCATAAGGGTTCCCATTTATCCACATAATGGTCAGCAGTTGTTACTACCTGTTTTTTGGTTTTATTTTGTTGTTGTTTTTTTAATAGTCATTCCAGTGGGTGTAAAGTAGATCTCATTATGATTTTGTTTTGTAATTCTCTGATGACTAATATTTTGGATATCTTTTCATTTCCCTGTTGGTCATTTGTATGTTTACTTTGTAGAAATGAAGTCTAGTCAATCTATCTTCTTCTTTCCTTGCTTTTGCTTTAGGTGTCCTATCCAAGAAATCATTGCCCAAATCAGTGTTACAGGATTTGTATCTAAGAATGTTACAGTTTTAGCTCATACATTTACATCTTTGATCCTTTCAAGAGTTCATTTTTGTATGTATCGTGTGAGATGGGTTCAAATTCATTCTTTTGGTGTAGATATCCAGTTGTCCTGGCACAATATTTTGTAAAGACCATCCTTTCCCATTGAATGGTCTTAACACCCTTGTTGAAAATAAATTAATCATAAATGTATGGGTTTATATCTGGACTTTCTAGTCTATTGATGTATATATCTTTTCTATCCTTTTTTTTTTTAATCTTTTCTATCCTTATACAAACACCACAGTGTCTTGACTACTATAGCTTTGCAGGAATTTTTGAAGTCAGAAAGTGATTTTTTTCCAACTTGACTTTCTTGTTTTCAAGATGTTTTGGCTATTCTGGGTCATTTAAGTTTACATTTGTATCTTAGGATCATTTTGTCAATATCTGCAAAAAAAGGTAACTGGAATTCTGATACAGATTACATTGGATTTATAGATAAATTTGAATAGTACTTCTATGGGGGAAAGTAAGAAAGAGAATGAGAATCTCAAGCAGGCTTCATGTCCAGTGCAGAGCCCATTGCAGGGCTTGATCTCACAACCCCGAGATCATGACCTGAGCCGAAATCAAGAGTCGGCCACTTAACTGAGAGAGAAGTAACCATGTTCCTTCGGGGGAAGTCTTGAGGAGGGAATAACTTTTAAAACTTCAGATGAACTTTCCACTTGTTTTTGAGATCAAGGTGTAATTTATTTACAATAAGATATGCTGGTTTTGGGGTGCCTGGGTGGCTAAGTCGATTGAGAGTCTGCTTTTGGCTCGGGTCATGATTCCAGGATGCTGAAATTGAGCCCTGAGTTGGCCTCTCTGTTCTCCCTTTGCCCCACCCCCCTGCTTATGCTCGCTTGTGCTCTCTCAAATAAATAAAATCTTTAAAAAAAAAATACTGGTTTTAATTATAACCACCATCCCAAATCAAAATACAAAACATTTCTGTGATCCCAGAAAGTTCTGTCATGCCTTTTTTAGTCATGACCACCTCCTTCCAACCTTTATTCCACAGTTACTGTGATCTAATTTCCGTTACCGTAGCTTAGTCATGCCTGTTTTAGAACTTTGTGTAATTGGGAATCATGTGGTAATATACTTTTTTTGTTTTTAAATTTTCACTCTGCATATATGTTTTTAAGATTTTTCACATTGCACATGTCAGTACATTCCTTTTCAGTGCTGAGTAGTATTCCATTGTAATAAACGCTCCATAATTTGTTCATTTATTGGACACTTGGGCTTTTTCTAATTTTTGACAAGTATAAATAAAGCTGCTATGAACATCCCTGTAAAAGTCATTTTGTGGACATATGTTTTCATTTCTCTTGAATAAATACTGTTAAATCATAAGACAGACTGGTAGCAGTGGGAGTCCCCTGCCAGCCTCCAACTTCACAGCGGTGCCTGCCTATGCGCACTACATGGGGTATCCCCATATGCCCAGCGTGGATCCTCACGGGCCATCGCTGGGGGTCTGGGGTTCACCCTATAGCCCCTCTCGAGAAGACTGGAATGTGTACCCTGGGCCATCCGGTACAGTGGGCACGGTGCCTATGAACGACATGATCTCGAACCCTTCCGCTTTTGGCTGTCAGGAATACAGCAACTTGGGCCCTGTGGGCGGGGGAAGCACCAGTGGAAGCCTGCCAGCCCCAGCCAGCAGGTTGCTGTTCCCCATAGATGCCGAAGCTGCAGATGCCAGTTCTCCCAACAGAAGCCGCCACAGCCCCATGCATGGATGTGAAAGACCGTGCAGGTGACTGGGAAAACCAGGACAAAAGAAAAGTATCGTGTGGTTTACACCGATGATCAAAGATTGGAGCTAGAGAAGGAATTCCACTGCAACAGATACATCATCATTCGGAGAAAATCAGAACTGGCAGTCAACCTGGGCCTTTCTGAAAGGTGAAAATCTGGTTTCAGAATTGCAGAGCCAAGGAGAAAAAGATGATAAGAAAGAAAATCTCCCAGTTTGAGAACAGTGGAAGCTCAGTACAAAGTAATTCTGGCTCCATCAGCCCTGGGGAATTACCTCCAACCAACCTTTTTTTTACCACCTCATCTGCTGTTCATAGATTTCAGCCTATTGAGATACAAAGAAAGGCAAAGAGAAATGGAAAACCCCCTATCCCTTAGCATTGTCTTCTTGGTCTCTAAGATATCAGCAGGGGAGTAAGGACAGGATGTAATTTCTCCTAAGGCAGTATTCAGAACAAATGGATGTGGAATGGTTGAAGAGGTCACTTACTGTTAGAAACCATCCTCAGAAAACTCTTATCATATGCTATGTTATATGGCGGTCACTTAGGAACTTGATGGTAAACTATACAATTGAAAGCTACAATCACAGGCCTTTGCAACTCTATTCACAATTTTGGAAACTTATTTATGAACAAATTATAAAAAACAGTTCAGGCAGAAGGCACATTTGTGTATATGTACTTGTGTTATTTGATGCTGGGTGTATTCTTTTATGCTATCTGGAGGGGAAGAGTTAAGCAGAAATTTATCCAGCTGTAGCTACCTTTGCAAGTGATTAATTCAAAAGCTAACGGCATTTTCATAACAAGACAAATGTTTAAAAATCAGTAGGAGATGATTCTGAATCCATTACCACTGATTAATAAAAATAATAAATAGAAAAAAAATCATAGATATATGGTTAATTTTATAACGAATTTTAAACCGTTTTTCAAATGGTTGTGCCATTTCACACTCCCTTTAGCAGTGTACTTTTATTTTCATGATAGTATATTCTAGAAGGACAGAACGTTTTAACTTTGAGGTATAACTTACCATTTTCTTTTATAGTTACTGCTTTCTATTTCCTAAAAAAAAAAAAAATATGTACCCATAATTTTGAAGATGTTTTTGCTAGAAGCTTTACATTTTACATTTAAGTAATCTTAATTTTTATGTCTGATCTGAAAGTTAGGGGTTGAGCCTAATTTTTTAATATACAAATATCTTGTTACTCCATCCCATTTATTGAAAAGACTTACTCCATTTATCATGACTTAATATTTAAAATCAATTAACTGTATATGCAGAAATGCATATTCATACTTTATTCTGTTGATCTGTTTTTCCATACTTATGCCAATACTACAGTCTCTTGCTTACTGTGCTTACTAATAATTTTGAAATCTGATAGTCGAAATCCTCCAACTATGTCCCTTTTCAATAGTGTTTTTGACAATTCTGGGTCCTTTGCCTATTCATATGAATTTCAGAATCATCTTGTCATTCTTAGAAAAATGTAAATATGTGTTAGGATGGCATTGAATCTATAGATCAATTTGCAAAGAACTGACATCTTGACAGTATTGAGGCAATATGAGCTTTCTATATCTATCATCTTTAACTTCTCTCTGCAGTGTTTTAGCTTTCTCTTTAGAAGTCTTTCATGTCTTTTATTATATTTACATATAGATACTATTTTCTTGATGCTATTGAAATGGTATTTTTTAAATTATACTTTTCAGTTTGTTGCTCATATAGCAAGTCTTGTATCCTCTAACCTGCTAAATTTATTTAGTTGTTCTGGTAGTTTTGGGTGTAAATTCCTAAAGAGTCACTAAACAATCATGTTTACAAATCAAAATAGAGTACTTCTTTCTTTCATTTATTTTTTCTTGCCTTAGAACACTAGCTAACATCCCCAGTACTGTCTTGAATAGAAATGGTAAGAGTGGACATCCTTGCCTTGTTTTTGAGTGTAGGGAAAGCGTACTCAGTATTTAACCTTTAAGTATGACTTTGGGTGTAGGTTTTTCATAGAGGAAATTCTTCTCTTCCTCATTGACTAAGAACATTTATAATGGTGGGTATGGAATTTTGCCAAGGCTTACATGAATTTATCTGATTATCATATGCATTTTCTCCTTTATTCTCATAATTTGGTAACTTGCATTTGTTTTTAAATTTTAGCCAGCTTTTTAATTAAGGGATAGATCCCAGTTGGTCACAGTATAAAATTGATTATACATATTCCTGGGTTCTGTTTGCTATTCATTCATTTTGTTTAGTATTTAAAAAATATATATGTTATTTATTTATTCATGAGAGACACAGAAAGAGAGAGGCAAAGACACAGGCAGAAACACAGACAGAGGGAGAAGCAGGCTCCATGGAGGGAGCCCGATGTGTGACTCAGTCCTGGGAGCCCAGGATCACGCCCTGAGCCAAAGGCAGACGCTCAACCACTGAGCCACCCAGGTGTCCCTGTTTAGTATTTTTGTATCTGTGTTCATGAATGATACTGGTCTATAATTTTATTTTGTTATAGTGTCCTTGTTAGTTTTTGTTTGAGTTATGCCAGTGTTCTTTCTTCCTTTTTTTTTTTTTTTCTAAATCTTTGTCTAGGATAGGTCTTATTTCCTCCTTAAATGTTTGATAGAATTTACCAAGGAAGCCATCTGAGCCAGGGGTTCTCATTGTGCAGGAAACTCAAACTAGATTTTTCATTTTGTGTGTGTGTTAGTATTTGAAAGTTGTGTTTCTCAGAGGTTTTTGCATTCATCTAGGTTGTTGAGACATTGACAAAATTATTCATTGTATCTGATCATTGTCTTTTAATGTCTGTGGTAATGTTATCTTTTCTTTCATTCCTGATACTGATCATTTGTGTGTTCTCTTTCTTCCTGATCAGTCTAGATAATGGTTCATATGTTTTATTGATCTTTTCCAAAAACTAATTTATGGCTTTCTTTTTTCAAAAATTTTTGTCTATTTCCTACTTCACTGGATTTCTACTCCTATTTATTTCCTTTCTTCTACTTCCATTGAGTTTAACATTTTCTTTTTCTAGCTTCTTGAGATGAAGGTTGGGTATACATTTTTATTCTAATATAAACATTTAGTGTTATAAATTTCTGGTAGTTTGTGGGAGTGAAGCTAAAGAAGAAAAGTTCTGATTTGTTAGATATGTTGTGTTTTTATTATTGTTAAGTTAAAAAATATTTCCTAATTTCCTTTTTTGGTATCTTCTTTGAAATACAGACTGTTTAGAAGTGTGTTGTTTAATTTCAAATATTTGGTGTTTTCATTGTGGTTAAGAATACATTCTGTGATTTCAATCCTTTGAAATTTATTGAGACTTGTCCTAGTATATTATATATCTTAGGAAATATTCTCTGTGCACTTGCAAATGATAAGTGTTCTTTAGTAAGTTGAATGAAGTGTCTATAAATCTTCTATATCCTAACGATTTCTTTCTTTTTTTTTTTTTTTTTTTTTTTTTGGCTGCTTGTTTCTTTGGCTACCAAGAGACGTTTGTTTGTTTTCTTTTTTTAAAAAACTATGGTTGTACATTTGTCTGTTTCTATTTGTCAATCTTTGTTTCTTTTATTTAATGGTCCTATTATTAGTTATAAACACATTCTGTCTTTCTGATGAATTTACCTCTTGTGTCATTGTGAAATTTTTTTCCTTTCTGGTAATATTCCTTGCCTTAAGGTCTTACATTGTTTAATATTATTATAGCCACACCAAATACTATTATCCTTCATATTTGCATTTACCTTTTATCTTTTTCTGTCCTTTTACTTCCAGCCCATCTGTGTCTTTATTTAAAATTGGTTTCTATGAATAGCATTTAATTGAGTTCAATTTGTGTCCAGTCTGAAAATGTATTTGGAGTGTTTAGTCCATTTACATTTAATGTAATTTCACTGTGATTGAATTTGGGTCTATCATCTTGTCATTTATTTTGTTTGTCCCCTTTGTCATTTTGTTTCTCCTTTCCAGTCATCTTTGGAATTAATTATGTAGTATTTAGTGTGATGTTCTATATCCTCTGTTAGCTTTTAACTATCCTCCTCTTTTATTTATTTTTTTAATGGTTACTGTATGTATCCATTAAAAGGCATAGTAGATATCCTTAACTGACTGTACCTAACCTTGAATTAATACCACTTCACATAAGATGTGAAACCTTTTAACTGTGTAATTCCATTACACAATTCCTTCCCATCCTTTGTACCATTGTTATCACCTTTTTTACTTCTACGTATGTTTTATTTTTTATTTTTTTTACATATGTTTTAAACTCTAGCATATTGTCGTTACTTGGTCATGATCTTTTAAAGAGTTTATGAAAATAAAAATAGTTATTTTATTTCTACCATTTGTAATATTTTATTTTTCCTATAAATTCATATTTCTTTGTAATATCATTGTCCACTAGTCCTATGCAACTTACCAACTCTAGAATTACCATAGTTTTAAGTAAAGCTACTATTAATACTTAAATATAGTGGTAAATTTACCTTTAGTTGTTGTGAGGCACAACAACCTTTATTGATACTGTTGTAGCTTTTCTTAACATAAAGTCCTCCAAGGATAAAATCAAAGCTGATTGTGAAAGAAAAAAAAAGTTAACGGACAGTCCTTTGAAGTTTTCATAAAATAATAGATTTGAGTTTGAATTTTCAGAGACTTTGTAAGTGTCTTAATTAAAGATTCAAGAAAATAACTGCAGTGTTAAAAGGAAAGTTATTACATTTCAGAGTTGATTATTTGGTAACGTATTGTTCTTGTCTGTTGTATTATTTGGTGAGCTGAAGCATTTTCTATTTGCAAGGAGTGACAAAAAATAGCCTTTTGAGCAAATTCATCTGGTGGCAGCTTGGTGGGGATGAGTGTGTGAGATATGTTATTAGGAGGCTAGGTAATACTTAAGAACAGGCCATCAAAGGACTTTACATTTTCTCCCAGATTTATTTGGCTTAAAGCGAAGAATAACAGCAGAGTCTTGATTATAAAGCCATACTATGGCTCATTTTCATTGTTAATTCACGTAAGCGATATTATCGGGTGACATAGACACATGATCATCTGTGACATTGAATGGATACCAGGTAAGTGACAAACGCTGTATAAAATACAGCTCCAAAGTCCTTCCCCTCTAGCAAGTGAGAAAGTTAAAGTGGTAGTTGCATTATGCTGAATGCATGTGACAGAAGAATGAAATTCAGAGTACTACTGAAGTACACAGTACTGGCACCTGATCCAGACCTGGGCTAAGTTTGAGTTTCTAGTGCTGGGGAAACAGGTATCTGAACTGAATTTTAAAGAACTTAGTAAGGTGATGTTACTTAGTAAGGTGATGTGATATAAGGATAGGACAGAGAGAT